TATAAACGTCAGATACACAATCACACAAGATAAATATAAGAAACTCAAAAGAAAAACGGGTTATAAAAGAAATAAAATCACAACACGTAAAACAAATACATATATTCGAAACACTCTCGGTGAAATCAATATATAGAGGTATCGTTTTCATTTCTGTGTTCTTTCCTAAGTTTTAATCCTTTATAAATTTTATTTTCAATTATTATTATTAAAATTTTCTTTATATCATCAAAATTCATCTTAAATTTACAAATTCACTTCAATCATATCTGTTGTCAATACGATTTCTGTTTTGTTATATCTCGATACCAATATTCTTCTTATTCTCATTCACAATTTGCATAGTATCTCTTGCAAAATTTCTAAATAGTTTAAAGTTGCTAAATAAATCTTCAAAACTTTGTAAATTTATATTGGCCTCTCACACTTCCAGTCAGGCAGCAGTCCTCGACGAAGTTCTTTGAATCGCGGAATTTATTACAAACATATATTATTTCCCTGGAGGTGGAACATTTTTAAGATTGAAGGGAAACCTTTTCATGCGCAGTGAGAATTTGATTGACATCTTTATTTCCTAAAATTCGCATTATTTTACTAATTTTTAAGCAACTTAGATAATTTTTGTTTCTTTCGAAGAGATGCTCAATATGTTATATTATTATGTAGTTGCACATTCAAATAGATATAGTATATTAAATTATAATAATATTTAGTACATTACAATCTCATACTGAATTATTTACTTATATATCAGTATATTTTAATCATACAGGAAGTACAGTTTTCAGCGATTATTTTATTTTAAGTATTATTTTATGTTAAGGATATTTTATGTTAACAGCATGGAAAGACTTTTCAATATTTTTGGAAAATTCTTGCTTTTTTTAGAAATGGAATTAAATTGTTCTATGAACTAAAAGATAACACATTTTCATTTGTTTTCCCTGTACTCAAAGTTTAAATTACTCCAGATCCCAGCAAATCGTGACATCGGTACTTATTTTTTTGGGATGCATTGTGATTCTAGCTGGAGCGTACGAAAGCCTTAATAAGATGGCTTGGTAACTGTTCTATAATTTCAGCAGCAAATGTTTTTAATTTAGAAAATTTTATTTGGATAATAGGTAAACTTTAAAAATTCGATTCTCTTTCCCCTCACATATTCTGCTTGCTATTATTATATCGTACAAGGATCGTGGTCAGATCGTGTTGGTGTCTTCGCTCCACATTTTCATACTTATACGTCTCCTTTAAAATTTTCCTCCAAACTCTCGTGCTGTTTCTAGCATTATCTCTATTCACATTAGTGACGCTTTAATCGTTTTACTTCCTTTCATTGGTGTGCTGAAGTGAATGATTTTTTATCCCAAGGGCTATTAGTCTTAAAACGACATTTTCAGTCGAATCGTTTTCAATGTCCGAATCACTTTTCAAATTGTTTCCGCCAAACATTTTTCACCCTGTATTATATTTAAAGAAACTAAATAATGAACGTTAATGCATGTATGTTTCTCGCATTGTTAAAAAAACACTGTACCCAGAGTCGTCTAATTTTGAATAACATGGTCGTCCACCCGAACCTGAGCACCCGCATTTGTAATTTGTTTTATTTATGTCATATTTTCTAAAATATTAACGAATTTTTGATTAAAAAACTCAACAATTTCAAAGCAAGCAGTGGCAATACTGTAGGGAGTAAAACATTTTTATCTCCAGCGCGCGAGACTGTCTATCGGAAATTCTAAAGACATGCTGTTTTCAAATATTTTTAGAACAATGTGGCGTTAGCCCAAATGCTGTCGAAATGTGTATATATCTGTAAATGAAAATAATGCCTGTTTGGGCATAGTATAAAATTTGAAAGGCTTTCGGTTTTTTATTTTTTTATTTTTTTTAATGTGAAATTGTTGCATTTCTGTTTTTATTATCCCTTAAAATAAATAATACATCCAGTGTTATACTGCATATCCAGCTTAAATTCAGCCAGACTACAGCTGGGCTATCTCTTAGTTTTTGAGTGAAACTATAACTCCAGGAGGAGTCACAAATAAGACAAAGTCCGGTATTTTATTTTTTTTTAATTATTTGTCATTAGTTTAATAATTTATTAAATTTTTATTTATGTACACCTTATTCAGTTTTAGTTTTAATTATTAGTTATTTTTTTATTCTTTTTTCCTGCCGGCCTTCTTCAAGGCTGTGGTACTTCTAATTTTAGAAATTAAACTCCGCTCATGTTCCATTTAACTTTGTTGCTGAAAGACAGGCAACAAACAGGAAATATATTGTTACTCCTTTCTTATGAAATTTATGATAATTCCAGAATTATAAATCCTGCTTTAACCTCGAAATAATTAAAGACATGAATAAAAAACTAAACCTCAGACATTTCGCAAGGCAATGAATAAAAATGAAATTTTTGGCTAGCCATTAAAACGTTCGAGTCTGTTTTTAATATGAAAGGAACGTAAACGTAACTTTAATGACTCATTTGCCTGCTTCATGCGACATTTGCTTGTCCTTATAAAACAGCTGGAGGACTTAATCCTTTATTTCCCCGTGCTATGTTACTAATTCATGCGAATCAGCCAAACGTATGTTCCCGTTCACTTGACCACCGGGCTCGAACGTCCGAGAGGAGACAGTGGCGGTCAAGTTGAGTGCGTTCGACACGCTTCGATGATAGCAAAAGCTTTTAACGTGTAAAATATGAATGAGACTTTGCAAGGTTTTCTATATAAAACCAACGGAAGGAATTAAATGAAAGAATAAAACGAGTGATTACTTAAGAAGTAAGTGAATAGGAAATATTCGAATTGAAATGAAACCTTGGGGCTGATGATTCTTTCAACCTTTAAATAATCATCAGTGTCCGTTCTTATATGAATATTTAAAAAGCAAATGACAATGAAATGATTATTTGAAATACATTTCTTAATAAATTTTGAAATATTATATTTATATTATTATATGATATAATAATATAAATATAATATTTCAAAAATATTATATTATATTATTATATCATATAATATTATATTTAAATATATTCAAAAATATTATATTTATATTATTCTTATATTATTTATATGATAACCGCCAAAAATAAATACAGGAATACTGAATTCCTGGAAATAATCAATTATATTTTGATTTCGACATTAAAAATTATAATATGAAACCTATTTTAATTATTATAATTAAAATTCCGGTAATTACTATAGTATCACATTCAAGCTGCTCAAAGCAAATTGTAAGAAAGGACTTAAATATTTTCATCGACAATCAGTCATTTATTGGAGAAGGCAAATAACATGAATCAGCGTTATATTTGAAAATTTTGCAAGATTGGTTTCGATGGTACTAGAACTATAGACACTAGTCCTGAAAAATTTTTAAATATAACGCTGAATCTTGTTGTATGCCTGTAGAGACATTATGTACTTTTTTGGAAGCAAGAGAAGTGAAAAATGAGCAACACCATCGCCGGGAATTGAACCCCGGGCCTCTGGAATTCGCGCCCAGCATGCAGACCACTACACCACGAAAGCACGCTAAGAAGGCGGGAGAAATACCTTATATACTCCTCCTTTTAAAGGGCGACTGGGGTTTTTAGGGGACCCAGTTGCCAAATCCTGGGTGGGGAGAATCATCATCCACCACCCTTTCAGTTCGGGCGCCACTGTAGAGACATTAGGTATTTTTTTGGAAGCAACAGAAGTAAAAAATGAGCAAAGCGTGCTCTGGCAATCGAACCACGTAGATTTAATTCAATCCAATAAGTTTAAACGAAATGCAAGAAAAAATGCGTATAATTTAATATTCCGTACAAGGAAGTCATGTGGTGTACACATCAGATTTTTTTATTTCGGGCGCCACTGTAGAGTCATTTAGAATTTTTTCGAAGCAGGAGAGATGAAAAATTAGCAATCCTGTTGCTGGGACTCAACCTCGGACTCCTCGAATACGCGCCGATTATGCTGACCATTACACCGCGAAGGCATGCTAAGAAGGCGGGAGAAATACCTTATGACTATACTTTCAAAGACAGAAATTATTCGAGCTTCCTAAACCATTTCTGTGAAATCTGACAAATGCTTTGACACGCCCGTGGGATTTACTAAAATCATTATATTTTTAAAAAATATGTACAATTGGCGAACTGATTTGCATAAACAGAAGCATATGTTAAAAAGAACATAACTGTTATTGAACAAAATAAATTCATCTAAATGATAATTACTAAATGGATATCCTTCTGACAGACATTTCAAAGAAGTGCTTCGTTTTGCGTATGACATGGATCCTTTTTTTTCAAAAAGAATTCGACCTAGTTGTCTCGGATAATAATTGTTGCATTTAATCGATTTCAATGTTAACTTCCTCGTGATCCCTGTCCGCACGAAATATGGCCTCACAAAGAGGGATTCATCGATTAAGCATATTACTTTACGTGGCTGTTGAAGTTTAGAAAATCGATTGGGAGATATCACGAAATGCCGCGATTATCGCTAATCACCAGAAACAGAAAATAACAAATGGATCTTCTCAGAAATTCTATAGTTACATAAGCAAATGTGAGTACTGTTGGAAGCGTTTAAAATATAGAATGCTTTTCAAAACACCTGATCCTACAGTAATATGAATTCTGTTTGTCATCAGACTGCTAAGGTTCGATAATTAATTTTTTTTTCAAAGTAAGTCTTGTTGCGACCTGCTTACAGTATGTACACTGCTGGCTATTAAAACTGCAACACCATAAATACAAAAAAGAGATTTATTGCATGTAAACAGTATGACATGAACACAAAATAGTTAAATTTGTAAGTATTTTGAAAGATTACGAGGGTGCGAAATTAGTAGAAACAGCTGCCACCCTTAGCAGCTAAAACGACCCTTACCCCATTAGGCTTGAAGTCGAACTGGGCTTAGGTGACAGAAGTGGGAACTCATTCCATATAGCTTCAAGGTCTATGCTACTCCTTCATCAACTGTATTAGCTGGAGAGGATGTGGCGGGCCAGTCTTTCAGCAACCCATGACCAAATGCTTCCAATGGGTGACAGATCTGGAGACCATGCAGGTCAGGGCAGCAATCCAATACCCTGTGCATCGAGAAAGGTCACAACACGACATGCAACATGTGGTCTTGCATTATCATGTTGGAACATGGCTTTTGGGGGCCTCGAAGATAGGGCACAACTCCTGGACGTAAGATGTCAGAAAGGTACCCATCTGTGTTAAAATTACCATCGATCCGAATTAGAGATGTGCGCGTCGTTTACCCAATGGCTGCCCAATCCATCACACCCGCTGCAGAGCCCATATGCCGATATCGAATGAAAGCAGGCGACGTGCGGTCTCGTCGGACACTCCAGACACGTATACGGCCATCAGAATACTGCACGTAGAACCGTGACTCGTTTCAAAAGGCTACAATTTGCCACTCCTGTACCCAGCTTTGTAGCTTAATGCACCAGAGTCGCCGTCTTGCTCTATGCTGCATTATCAAAGGAAGCCGAAGTAATGGTCACCCTGCTGCTAGTCCACGCTGCTGCAACGTCGACGCACCTTACGAGCTGATTCCTGACTAATGGTCCGTGATGTGCTCGTACGGGTTTGCAGGTCTGACCTCACAATATGTCTCTCCTCTCTGGCGTAAGTCATGAGGGGCTTTGAGATCCTCCATGCTGTTTAGTATGACCCTCCGCAATCCACTGATTCCATATTCGCATGGCAGTGGTTGGATGTCGACCACTGCGACCGGCGCTATCACGGAACGATAATCTACGCTTTCGATAGGCAATGATCCTCCCTTTATAGAATTTCAAAACTTGCTGGTAAGCATTTATGCTTCTTATTCGAGGCATAACACGATATTCTCAGCAAACTTCAACCTTACAAAGCACTTTCCGAATGAGAAATCCAGTACACAACTTTTGTTATTTTCACTGCTTTAGATATTGTTTCTCCTTCCCGCGTCGTCTAAATGCGCTGAAATACTAATCATTTGCATACCCACCTTCTTCCTTTCATGCGATTTTGACATTCGTCAGATCATTCCTTCCTGGTGTTGCAATTTTAATGGCCAGCAGTCTGTTAACGAATTCCTATCAGTTTGCTTTCAGCTTTCAGACAAATCAAAGATAGGATTCTTTGATTGTTGCTTTCAGACTTACGACAAACAATTTTGATTGAAATATCGAATTCATTTTCGGTGACACGATCTAAATATTTACAAAATTAAGATGGCTTTAAACCCAATTATGTCGTCCGTTTTTGCCATCAGCTGAGCTAAGTAAACTTGATGGCAAATAAGGGCTTTGGCCTTTCTTCGAAAACACGTTGCCTATATAAATTTTAAGAATATTCGTAATAAATCTCCGACAGAAACGAGTGGGCATGCTTAAGAACTTATTTACACGCTATATTGCTCAACCTCGATGCTCAATAAAAATTTCTCCTCTCGCCAAATCTCCTGCAACAATCTTTATTAACGCAATAGCTTCAAATGAAACCATAAAAAACCAGTTCTCTAAGACACCGCAAGATCCTGACGTTAGGATGAAAAACCAATAAACATACATGATACTCTGATCAAACTCCCACCTCACAGAGCACTTCACAGAGCAACCTCACAGAGAATGAGAAATCCACTACAGAACTTTTCTTTTATGCGGTGCGTCAGATGTCGTTTCACCATCATTGCGTTCTCTAAATTCGCTGAAATACTAATCATTTGCATATCTCAACTTCTTGTCAGAAATGAAGACAAAGAACTTATCTTCTGCCATCCAAGACTGTTCATCAAGTTGCTTACCTAGTGAGTTGTTTAAGGCGATGAATGATTTCGAAACATTCCGTACATTGACCCCAGTCTTGACTAGAAAACGTAACCTGAGTGTAGCGTTAACGTTTGTAGTTCGGGATAACGTTTGTTATTCGTAATTAATGTGATCTGATCTAAGGCGCATTTCAAAATGATTTTCTTTTGCTAATTTTTTCTGCTTTTATTTACAAGAAAACTTTAAATGATAAATAAAATTAGATCCATATCATTGAAAGATGTTGTGAGGTTAAAGAATTTATAAGATTTCGTTTTTTTCCCACTAATGTTCCTAATCCTAAGATTACAACTTCAAATTTCTGATTCATTTAATTCAGTTCTTTCTCAATTCATAGGTGTGATAGGTCAAATTTGTGTCAAAGGTCACATTTGTGTTTTACGTATTCAGCAAGGCAAAAATACAAAACATCTTCATTAAAAACTGTAACAAAAAGTCACCGAAGGTGCAGAAACTGACTTAATTCACTATTCTGCTGAGTTTCAAATGTAGACAAATGGCTGCTCTGTTCGGCTAAGCCGCAACTTAATAATTTTTTCAGTTATTGATAATTCTACAACTATTGCATGCAGATTAACTTATTATGCCTTAAGCAGAATTCTTCTGTTCCGGTTAAGGTATAAAATCTTTAACCAGTCTTTAAGAACAACATAATTCAATCACTTTTAAAGCCAAAAATGCGCAGTTTGTTAAGGACAAAGCAAGAATTTAAAGCAAGAGACAATCACTATAATACACAATTACTAAATATATTTACGTACTTTTGGTGCAGCCGATTGCAGAAAAAAAGGAGGTGCACAAGAACATGTTATTGTAGTCCTATATACAAAATTTCAACTTTCTGAGGCTACTTGTTTTTGATAACGCTATATACATACATACGTACGTCCGTACGTACAGACGTCATGGAAAAAAATCTCTTCTGAGGCCATTTTAAATCCAATTTTTAATCCGTTTTGGGAAAAAGAGACCTTTATTTTGTTCGTACATACAGATGTAATGCAACAACATCGTTAAATTTCATTCGATAGCGATCAAAGTGGATATTTTCGTCAAAATATTATAAGGTATTTCTCCCGCCTTTCTTAGTGAGCCTTCGTGGTGTAGTGGTTCTGCACGCTGGGCCGGTATTCCAGAGGTCCGTGGTTCGACTCCCGGCGAAGCGGTTGCTAATTTTTCATCTTGCCTGTTTCCGAAAAATCCTAATGTTTCTACAGTGGCGTCCGAAATAAAAGAGTGTTGGATTATGATTCTCTACACCCAGGTTGGCGATTGGGTCCCGTAAAGAACCGCAGTCGCCCTTTAAAAGGGGGAGTATATAAGGTATTTCTCCTGCCTTCGTGATGTAGTGGGGAGCACACTTGGCTGGTATTCCAGAGGTCCGTGGTTTTCGATTCCCGGTGAAGACTATTGCTAATTTTTCATCTCTCTGGCTTCGAAAAAAAATCCTAATGTCTCTACAATATGATACTCGACATTTTTGCGATTAATATACTTTCTTTACTTCATACAAGGAAGTAAAAAAATTAATTAAAATTATAAAGAGTCAGATATGCAATTTATTTTGGCTGTGTAAGGTTGTTTGAGTTTTGTAAAGACTACAACGGTGATAAGGATGTTCTTCAATTCTTTGGGCATATTGAATCTTGGCAAATATTTTTTAATGCTTGCTGTTTGAACTCGATTTTCTGGGAAACACGGAGTTCTGAATCTCTTATTTTCTTATTGGATATGCTTTCTTGTTTGTCTTATGGTTGAGTTTCTTCATGATAACTCTGGTAGTTATTTTTTAACAGAATGTATTCTGTATATTACATGTTAGAAATACATTCTGTTACACTTACAACCTAATTTTTACTCTTGCCTTTATGTCGCTCTCACGATGTTGTCTTTTACAGGCTGGTGATATTAGGACTTTCAAAATTAGACTCTTATGAAATTAGAACTTGGGAAAAAAGTAGCCTTTGAAAGACTTGAAAACGCTGTTAATAGAACTTACATGCGTTGCCTTTCAATTAATGCTGTCGCCATTTGGGACATATATTCGAATATTGTTTTGAGTTGTTAAGAATTGCTGTAAATAAAACATATAACTACGTTACTAGAATGAAGCAAGATACGAAAAAAATATTATCTGGAATATACCAACACAAAACAATATGTTATCTACATTACACTAATCCAAAAGATATGTTATATAGATTACACTAATACAAAAAAATTTAAGGTGTACACTTGACTTCCTTGTACGAAATTATACTCATTTTTTCTGCATTTTATTTAAAATTATTGAATTGAATTAAATCTACTTCGTCGATACATGAAGGCTGTCTGTCAAAGAAGAATGATGCTTTCGTGGAGGAGTTTATAAAGAAAAGTGGTCCGTATTCATGTTACAGATGAGAAAAACAACGAAAATAAGTATGCAGTCAGCCAGTTAACTGGAGTTCGGATACAAGTCTGAGTTTAAACGTCTTAATTATTTAGACGCTGGTGGGGACTTGAGTGTATAAGAATTTAATTGAAATGTAAATGGATAAAGAGTATGGTGGAATAAATTCGACTCGCCGCATATTCAGCGAAATAATATCTGAGGCATTAATACTGTTACAGATTAGGTATTTAAATAGCTAATGTTAGTTGAATTATAAATTAAATTGTTTTATTCCCGTGCAGTGTAGCGCGTGACGAATATTATAGGAAAGCTAAGCCGGAAAATTGAAAATACAAGAGCACGTGCATTTAACGTTAAATAAATAACTATCTCTTTTTGATTTCTAGAAAGTTTCAGAAAGTTCTCGCGCACGATATAAAAATCTTATAAAAAGGAGGAAAACCTCTCAATTCGATGATTTTAGTTAGTGTTGTTGTTTTAAGAGTTTGTTTAGAAAACTGCTCTTGTTGACTGTAGCGAATTCGCGGATTAGTTTTCTCTAGCTCTTTTGAATTAAGTTCTCTTGAACGTTTGAGTAGTTAAAAGATAACTGCTGTGATATATTGTAATACTGCACGAATATTTGAAAACATTTAAGCATTTTTGTTGTGATAATAATAAATTTATTCATTTTTCATCGGACATGTGCATTGAATTCAAACGAACACGCACGCACGAAACAATACTAATGTTTCACTTCATCTCCGGACGAAAGAAACACTTCGAATGGCTCCTCCGCACTATTATTAAGTGGGACTGCAGAGAACGGTTTAGCAATTGAAGCTAAATAAGCCATTCTAAACTTTGAATATAATAATAATAGACTGCTAGTTTGAACTCATTTCCTTGAAATTATTTTGTAACTTTAATAAACTGGAAATCTTCAGTTTGGATTTTTATAAACTGATATCGAATTTGATGTAAACTTGCAT